GAGCCAAAGATGTTAGAATTGTGTCGATGTCCCAATATTTCTGGACCTGACTGTATGCATTTGCCATTTTGCCCATGGATGGAATTATACACATCACTCCAAAAATCTTCAAAGAGAATCACAACCTCCAAACTGAAGATACGTGGAACACTTTACTGAGAACAACAAGGTCTGGTCTGTATTTACCAACAGTGGGTATGCAAAACCACAGATAACGGATGATGAGGACTACCTGTAATTAACTTCTAATACAGTGTTTTCCCCAGCTGGCTGGGGAATTCTGGGAGTTGAAGTCCACACAGCTTAAAGCAACCAAGGTTGAGAAACACTACTAAGATGTGGGAGAAAACACTGCAAGATTTCATTTTTTTCTAGCAGATGCTAACTGAATTATATATCTCTCCAGAGAAATAAGTGTTCTAAGTTTGGAGGCTTAATTTTACCTTATACTGTTCTTGCTGCCTTCTGCAATTTCGGTCACTACACTGTGGATTTGGCTTCATTGTCATGGTGGGAAAGAAATCCTGCAGTGCATTGTAGCCAAGGTAAAAGCTCACCATTCCAAAGTTTAATAAATATCTGGAGAAAATGTAAGGAGGATTTAAAAGCTTGGGTCAAAATTAGGAGCCAATATTCAAATTCAGAAGACTATTCCAGAAGATCCTTTGGAAAAAAATTAATTTCTCATCAGGCTTTTAAAATTAAGACATCTTAAGGATTTAGCCACTTACTTCAAGACATTTTGCACAAGAAGCCCAGCAACCACTCCCATAGTGGTGGGGAGGCTGGCTGCACAAACTCCCTCTCGTTTCAGTGTTTTCTCATCAATGTTTGCAGCTACAACAAGTGGAGGAGCACACTAGCAAAGAGAAAAAGATACAGAAAAAATGAATGTAAGTACAGGCATACAGTACAGGATAAAGATTTTAAAATCATTAATCTGGGGCTAAGCCCCAAATCTTGATAAATTCTGAAGCCTAAGGAGGTTTGGAGTTATTCAGAGCACACTGTCACATAGCTAAAGCAGAACAGACTGTTGTAACCCAGACTATCAAATTAGTATCTTCAGAAAACTTGGGTACTTATCCATTGCTCTTAAGTTCCTGCCCACTATGAATGGTAGTGTTGCAATAGCCATGCTAGCACTGGGACAGAAACTTTTAATGACTCTGTAAAACACTACCTCGGGAGAGGGGAGGAAGAAGATTTGACTCTCTGATAGCTCTATTCTCAAATCAGAGTGAACTGTACAATCAGGTCATTATCAATCATCCAATCAAGTGACTTTTGTTGTCAGACATTCCAATTAGAATGACTTATATGGGTTATGAGATTATGGGAACAAGGTATTTCAAGCACTGATTAAGCAGCGATGAACCAGCCTGGGCAAGACTCAGTTAAAATTTGAGTATAAAGAATTATTGCAAGTTATAAAAAATTGTAGAAATGATCTAAAAAGGCAGTTGCTAAAGTCTGAAGACAAAAACAAAAATATAGCATGAGATGGATTCAGGCAAAGAAATGCTGTCTGGCTTGGGAAAAACTATAGTTGCTATTGCCAAAGGGATAGAAAAAAAAGGTCACTCTGGTGCTTTGGAAGAGGTATGTCACATTCCCCTCCTGTTTTATACAGGATCATCCTATTCCCACTTTCTGGAGACAGAAGATTGTATGTCTTGCATGGTCTTGTGGAGGATGCATGCAGTAAGATGTGGTGTTTGAATGGCTATACTAGGTCCAGGTCCAAATCTATCTTCAGCCATGGAAGCTCCCTGGGGGAATTTGGGCCAGCCACCCTCTCTCATTCCAAACTAGTTCTCAGCATTGTTCTGGGAACAGTTGGAGGAAGGAATGCTATGTATGCCACCCTGAACTGCTGCTGAAAATATAATTATAGCTGGGCCTCTGTTGAGACCTTTCTAGGGGACTTTTCAGAAATTCTGAAGGGAGGACTTTAAAGAGGACTGGGCAGTGATCACTTTCTCAGTTAACAGAAAAGAAACACACTTCTGAAGGTGACAGATTTGTTCATGGTTTAACATTACAATGCTACTCCCAATGAAAACAGAGTTGCATTTTTCTAGATCACATGTTGGAACATTAATTCTGGACCAAACTGGGCAGCGCTATTCTCTGAGATCTCAGATCCAACACAAAGCTGGTTGGACAGCCTTTACACAGCCCATACACATTGCAATCAATTGGATAATTAAACTAAAAGAACTGAATTTCTCCAACAGCAGAAAACAAGTTGGATAGATAATTACATACTGCGAAACAAGCTGATTCACCAGGTATGATCAGCTGGATATGACCAGAAACAGCATTTTCACTTACTCCAGATTCCATCCATTTTTGTCCAATCTCATTACAAGCCTTTAAAAAAAATGACATCACGTTTAATTTGCTAAAAAAAATTATAAGAACATAAGAAGAGACCTGTTAAATTAGACCAAAGATCTATTTAGCCAAGCATCCTGTTTCTATGGTATTACAAACAGAACTTGAGAGGATTACTCTTCTGTATTGTCCCCCTGCAACTGTTAAATTCAAGCCACCTCTGATCTTAGAAGCAGCAGATTGCCTCATTATATTACTACTTCCCTAGGTGACTCTAGCTAATATTACAAAAGGAAGAAAAAAGCTATTTCCCTGTGCTTTCTCCACAATATGCAGAATCTTATCAATCTTCAGCATATCCCCTATCATTTATTTGTGCTTTTTCTCAATTTTTTTTTATTGTGCTTTTCAATTTTTTCTTGATAGCTCACCCTCTCCCACTAGAATATTTTATTTCCCCTTTACTGTACTTTTTCCAATTCTTCCATATTTCTGGCTTAAGAAATGGCTTACAAGATTAATGTTAAAATTAATATTTAATATTTACAAGATTTTACAACTGCATGACATCAGGCACAGGGAGTCCACACAACCAACTAAATCAATCTAGAACTACTGAGCATCCATGCTTGGTGCTCTGGACTTTATGCACAATCACAATTTTCTAGCAAAAGACACTCAATTCCTATTGGCTAAGAGTAAGCAAGCACCAACTAAGATTCATTAATGAGAGTTCTGAATACTTACAGTGTTAATTGCCATGCGAGCTTCAAAGTTATCCACACAGCTTAGTAGAAGATCAACAGGTTTTCCTTCTTCTAATCCACCATTACTACAGTATTAATAAAACCAAGTCAAACAGTGCTATTAGATATACTGTAAATACAGTTCTAAAAAACTAGTTTTACCTGATCCTATCCATAAAGTGCTGAAAGTTGTCCACAGTGGTAATGTTATAATTATGTACTTCAAAGCAGACATCAGGATTAATATTCCTTAAAGAAGAAACAAAAGCTGTTATTTATTATATTCACATGAACATTTCTTAAAGCACTCTCACATATAGAGCAATGTTCTATCTTTCTGGAGAATGGTTTTATTGATATTTTTAAAAGTTGGAAAGATGTCTTACCTTATTAATACTTGTAAACCCATTTTCCCCACCACATACCTTAAAGTGTGCTCTGCTGCTTTCACTTTGCTCAGTCCAGCTTGTTGGGGTTGAAAAAAGAGCCTATTCATATTTGCCAATTCCACCTTATCATAATCAAACAGGAGCAGCTAAAAGAAAAATTACAATAATACATATATGGCTTCTATTCAGAAACAAATAAACAAATATTTATTCATACCAGTCTCTGTGTGTTTTGGAATGTTCTGTGTAATCACAAATGAGCTCTTTTTTTAAAGAAGACATAACTAATTTGAATTAGAGAGGATGGTTCTAGCCTAAGCATCATTTTCATGCAGGTAATCTGTCTCTTTTCTTCCTAGCTTCTAGTTCAACTGAAAAACTGATGACATACACTTTTTAAGTCTCCAGGCCAGCCTGGGCAAGAGGTGCAGTAGATATCTTGACCCAGTGTCTGGAGACTAGAAGGATAGGAGAAAACAAGTTCAGATTAATCCCAGAAAGTCAGAGCTGCTGTTCAGAAACCACCTATCTCATTGTTTCTCATGTGAGCTTCCTTGAATATATTGAATATGGTAGGGTGTAAGTTGTGCAATAAAAATAACTTCTTTTGAAGTAGAATAGGATCACAGTATAACTGAAAATGTAAATGTGAGAAGACGCACATTCTATAAAATGCACGCTAAGGAAATTAATTACAGCACCCATCGTGGGCCATCATTTATATGTCTGTCACTCATGGATTGCAATGCACATTATGAATATACTTTCAGCTGACAAATGCCAATCCATTTCTTCTTAGACTACCAATATTCTTATGCAGGGCTGTGTTATTAAAATGAAGAAATGACTATTACCTTACCAATGCCACATCTTGTCAGCATTTCAGCAGTCACACTGCCAATTCCACCAACACCCACTATTGCCACAGCAAATGAACGAATTTTCTGTTAACAAGAAACCAACGTTTTTAAGTGCTTTGCCCCATGAAATTAAAAATTTGTGGCAAATTATCTACAAAAAACATTAGCCCACCTCATAATCTTTCACAATTCCCATTCTTTTCAGTGCCATCAAGCGACTAGAGAAAAAAGGAGAAGGAAGAAGAAAAACAGTTTGTCAAGGAAGGATTTTTTCAATTTATTCACAAGGCACAGCAGCTTCTCAAAATGAGATGAACAATTCCACAGTTCATAAATTATTTCAAACTTTAAACCTCTGTTCCATTTGGCAAATTGTTTTAATGGCTTACTGCATAATCTGGAGATCTATCCTGTTGGAACTACTACCCTCATGGAAGTATCAATTCATTTATGACATTCTGAAAGAGATGACAATTATGTGAGTTCGTATATGTGCGCATATGTAAATATATTCAACATGTTGATAGATTTCTAACTGTTGTACAGTTAAATGTTGCACTTCCATAATTTTGATTGTACATCATTTTTTAAATTGTTTTGTATACTAGTCTGGTGTATACAATAACAATATTAATAATTTAACAGCTTCCAAATTACTGTCCTTCTTAGTTGTGGCATTCTGTTTATGGAATGCCCTACCCAAAGAGACTCACCCTGGCATATACACTGCTTTTTTTGCTCCCTGGGCTATTTATTGTTCTATTTTGCTGGCTTTTATTTCTTTTATAAAAACTCTGAAATCTATCCAGATAAAAACATTATTGAATGGCTTCAAAAATACAGTAACTAGTGTAACAGAGTTGAAACTCTTTAAAGGTCACCAAAGATTAGAGAACCTTATTAATATTGATTGCTATGCTGAAGCTAGGAACAGCCATTACCCTATCACAAATTTCAATAGTTGACCCAGGCCAGGGAAGTTCTTGACTTGCTGCTAAGGAAATTATATCTAGCAATTAATAGCTAATCATTTTGGTCACATTTCCTTATGCCATTACATGTAATCTTTATCATGAAGAAACATGCTTGCCAAGATTCAGCAATAAAACCTGACAGGATGCTGGCAATGGGGGGAAAAAGGGCATAGTTGACTAGGTCAGTAGTAAAGCAGCATGGAGTGACAGACACGTCAAACAGGGAGTTCCACTCTGCACATCTCAAGATTTCACAAGATTATTTTTTTTCCAGATGAATCTCTGCTGGCAGTGGCCTGGCTAAAAGATTGAGCTCATTACCATATTCGAATCATACCTCTACTATGAACCTACTATTAGGCAAACCACAATGATTTCCATCTTTCCACATTCAGGATTGTGCATGTTTATATGAGACACTGAACTCCATTAAGTAATGCCAAGTAAAACCTTTATTTTACTTGGGAAGCATAGAGCATTTGTTCGCAAGGCCCATCAACATCTCTGACAGGAGATTCCAAGTCCTTCCTGGATAATAATCACCTATTATCGGATGCTTTAAGACTCTAAAGAATGAATCTGAACTCTTTTGCCTGCAATCACCTATTCTACGGTTAAGGGCGACGGTGTTCCTCTGAAGACATTAAAAAAAAAAAAAATCCAGCGCCGCAAATTCCAGCGCAGAATCGAAATGGGCTTGCATCCAGAAGAGGCTTCGTGCCCGGCTGGCAGGGGAACCCAAGGCAGCCCCGCCACCGGCCTCTCCCCTTCGCGCGCCATCCTCTACCCAGACCTTTCCTCGGCCACCGCTCACCTGTATGGATTGGAGTCCGTCACCTCGGGGCTCATCTCCGCGATCCGCGCTCGCGGGCCCTGACTGCCTCCCCTCTCCCGGACCAGCTCTTCCTCCAGCTCTTGGATGCGGAGCCGCAGCTCTTTCACCTGCTTCGCAGAGGCGGCCATGACCGGGTCCCGCACTTCTAAAATACGCCCCCCCCCAAAGAAACACAATCTTAGCCGTCTAGGCTTCCGCTGATATCCAGCGGCTCAACTCAGTCCAGCCCAGTCAATCCCACCACTAGAGACACGTCTCCATCCCCAACGCTTCCTGGAGTAACAGCAAAAGCCATCCCCGCCGCAATCCATTGCTGGCAAATAAAGTTCCGGCCGCAAAAGGTTTCTGGAAGATAACGCTTGCCTTCAACTTATGACAGCTTTTAGAGGGGTAAGCAAGTGCAGTCCTGGAGAAATCTACTTGAAAATAACTTTCCCTCTTAGTTTTTAACAGAACTGCTGTCTAGCCTTTCTTAACACGCTCCATGTGTGTTGAGCTACCACTGCCCTCATCCAACAATATAACTAAGGATGATGGGAACTGCAGTCTAATCGCATTTGGAGAGTGCCAGGTGAACTCTCGTAAATATGTTTAGGATCGCAGCTATAAATACCCGATCTTTCGGTACATGCAATGTTGAAATCGAATAAAAAGTCAGTCTCGCAACCTTTGCCCTGCGAAAATATTAGCTGCGGGACTGACTGCTAAGCGGAGAACGCAATTTGCGTAGGCCATTCGCTATACTGAGATCTCTCTGCCCCGCCTCCAAAAGTGGAAGCACCACGCTCCAGGCGTAGACTTCGGTAGCTCCCGCAACCTTTGCCCTGCGAAAATATTAGCTGAGGGACTGAGCAAAGACAGACAGCGACCTCGTCTCCGCGAAAATGGCAAGTGAGCCCGATACGACTGAAGTGCGGGAACAGCACCGATTTGACCAGAGAGCCTTGGAGGGCTACCTGTGCCGCTCCCTACCTGGCTTTCCCGTGCAGCCTTCCGAAGCTCTGACGGTCAGGCAATACAGGTAAGGATGCCCTGCCGCGGGCGGGCGTCAGGAGGCAGTCCCTCTCAGTCGCACCTCCGGAGTTTGCTTGCTTCTTTTGAGGAAAAAAAAAATAAATCACGGGAGCAGGATTGTTCTGTCTTTTCAGGAAATTTATTTATTTATTTATTTATTAAATTTGTATGCCACCCATCTCCCCCAAAGGTCCTCGTATGGGCTGCAAGGAATGGAAAATCGTTTTAGGTCACTAGTTTTGTTAAATCTGTTCAACAGGCGAAATAGCATGCATGCGTTTGACCGTCCCCAGAATTCTTCATTTACTGTAATAAGAAGGTAACAGGAATTAAGGGGAACACGTGGCCTAAATGTATTTATTGTCTTAAGGTGAAAGGGGAGAGGAGAGGAGAGGAGAGGAGGACAGGGCATTGCATTCTTCCAGTCAAGCTCTCTCAGGTGTAGAGCAACATTCAGGCTGCCTCCAGCCTCTCCCAGACACTGCTGGACTGAGAAAACTCCTAATCTGATTAGTTCAAATTGCACAAATGTCTTATGGAAAGAATGAACCTGTTACTATTGCTTGAGATCCTTTCATGGGTTCCCAGCCACTTCGTCACATGCATGGAATGTAGGCCAGAGGAGCACACACAGAGAGAGTGGTCTTGCTTCTTTTTCTATCTTTGAACTAACTTTCTGCTGCCGATGTCTCATTTATGCAGAAGATTATTTTGAAATCTGGACTGCTTGTACTAATTTAGTTCTTTACTTTTTTTTTTTTTTGCAGGGGAGGGTAAATTTACTTAGATTTATAGCCCCCCTTTCCTCCCGGAGCTCAAAGTGGCAAGTAAGCAGTTCCTTTTCCAATTTTTCCCTGCCATAGCAACCCTGGTGAGGTAGTTTGGACTAAGAATGACTGACTCCAAGTCACTCTGTGAATTTTTATGTTCTAGTCTAACACTTTAACCATTTTACTCCATTAGCAGGTGTAACAATACCTCACCAGAAGCTAAAGATAGTCAGGGCTAATTAGTACTTGAATGGGGACATCCAGGGAATACAATTGTTGTGGACTAAATTAGGAAGTTGCTGCCCAAAAGCCCTTATGGACATTTCCAGGAGCTGAGCTGGACTTTAAGGAGGGTTTACCTTCTTATCAACTTATTGAATTTGTAAAGGATTTAGTATAGCTTTGTTACTTTGTTTGGGATATATAGCTACAGTATATGCAAAAGTGTAGGTACCTTGGTTAAATAGTATGTTTTAATGAATCCCAAACTGTGATTTTTGAATTTTTGACCAGAGTTTGATGCATTCATTTCCTTCTGGTGCCCTTTAATGACCAACCTTCAAAGTAATCTTATCAGTTATTCAGATGTAAAGATAGAAAGTTTCCCATGGGAAAAATTCTCTTCAAAGTCTTGATTCAAGTCCATCTAAACCAGTGTTTCTCAACCTTGGCAGCTTGAAGATGTGTGGACTTCAACATTCCCCATGCTGGCTGGGGAATTCTGGGAGTTGAAGTCCACACATCTTCAAGCTGCCAAGGTTGAGAAACACTGGTTTAGATGGACTTGAATCAAGACTTTGAAGAGAATTTTTCCCATGGGAAA